ACACACAAAAACGGCAAACGAACAACTCAGATTATCGAAAATTGAAGTGAAGCGCTTGAAGAAAGAATTATCAGTAGCTGAGTTGGCATTGGAAGAAAAAAATGAACGAGTTCGAATCTTGGAAGAGTGAGTTGAAAATTTTCTATACTTTTCATTCAAAGTTTTTTTTCAGGAAACTTCGAGAGAAGGAGCATCAAATGAATCTCAAGAGTTCAGACGTCGAAACACTGAACACCAAGAAGCAAGAATTGGAGCGCAAAAACGAGCAGAATGAGAGGTTGATTGCAACATTTAAAACAGTGAATTCTAAAAAAGATTTGACAATCAAGTCATTGCAATCTAAAAATTTTGAGAAGAACAAATTGATCGAAGATTTGACATCCGAAAAATCGAAAGCGATTCCATCAAGATCTACTGAGGAATCTGAGCAAGTTGAATCTCTTCTGTCAAATCTTCTGGAAAAGAAAACTATTTTGTCAAATGAGGATCCAGTCAAGAAGTCCGATGTCATCTGTAAGGAGTTGATTGCGAAAACGAATTCCAAGACTACTCAACAAATGGTGAAGTACGAAACAAAAATATTCCAACTTCAAGTTTCTTCCTATATCCAAACTGTAGAAAACAACATTCAGTTGCTCCAAGGGAACATGGCAATCAAAGTTGATCAGATTCCACAAATTCCCGACTTCCCTGAATTCTCAGAAGAATTCAAGAATGTTCACAAGTCTATGTTGAAGAAAGAAGCTCCAATTCTCTGCAGACAACTTTTGAAGCTGATTAATGAAATTGCTGATATGCTGTGTGCCATCTGCATAGATGAAATGGAAAGTCACGATAATACAACCAAGTGCCCCGTATGCAAAAGGAGATTCCACAACCACTGCATCAGGACTTGGTGGAAAACGAAGAGCAGTTGCCCAGCTTGTTACCATGCAATGGTCGACGAACAGGAATTCCCAGCGTTGCAATAATTGTTTCTTTCATTTGTTATTTGTTTTTTTTTGTTCTATTTTTTTTCAATAAAATGAATCTTAATTGCTGTTGAAATTTTGTGGAAAAACAGGAAGTTTAAAATTCCAGAGTTATCTCATCACATGTGTACTTTGTTTCGGCGATTAATTCACTACAGATGACAATTGGTTATTTGACAGGATTCACTTTTGACGAAATAGTTTTTTGTCTTAAGAAGATCAGACAGAAAGGATCGAAAATTCCTTGAAACAGAGTCTATGTTTCATGAAAGGTTTTTTTCAGAAAACGTCCCATGAAAAAAAAAATACCGCGTTGATCTTTCGAGCAAAATTTGGGACGTTTTCGAGACATCTAGCTTTCTTAACCAGAATTCACCCCCAACATAATTTTCTGCTTTTAATATTCATTTTCCATTTCAACACTTCCGTGCCCACGGCCCGGCCAGCGCTACCTATGGCCGAGAAAAAAAAAAGTTTGATACGCAGTTCAGTTTTGTAAGCAGCGAAATTGGTCCGCAATCTGACGGGGTGGTGTTTGCGTACTTGTGCACCGTAGTCGGCCAGAAAATTCGATTTTTTGACCGAATTTATCAAAAAAAAGACAAAAAAGGTGCTTAGAAGCACCAAAACAAGCAGAAATGATACGAAACATTATTGAAAAATAGTTTATTACAACTGAGTTTGAAATTTTTACAAAAGAACAGCGATACGAGTTCATAAGCAAAAAAACGAAATTTTAGCAAAAAATTCCTTTTCGTTCTTGAAATTCCGGCGTTCCTGTGGAAATTTGTGCTTGAAGATCTGGAATTGACATAGTTACATAACTTGGAACAAGAAAAATCTTGAATGACCATGTATTAACGATATTATTCTGGCCGCCGCAGTCGAAAAACTCAATTTTTTGGGTACTTCGTGAAATTTCTCACCGAAGAACACATGAAGCCCTGTCATAACTTATGTTAACTTTTTCAGCATCATACGGAGCACGTGTGGGCCAAATTTGGAAAAAATTAAATTCACCGTTTTTGAGAAACAATTTTATTTCGCGGTTTTTGCGATATTTTCATGTGTTTTTTCGACGTTTTCGTAAATATCTCGAGAATGAACACATGAGCAGCCGATAAGTTTTATATCATAACGTAGCCAGCTGTATGGCGGATCTTTTGAACCACTTTTCAGCGAAATTAAATTCGCCATTTCGGAGAAATTGATTTTTTAAGTGAAATTTCGCAGTTTTTGAGGGCGGCACGACTTTTTCTCGGAGTTAAGCACATAAACATCCGGTTTCAAGTGCTTCAAAAGGTTGCCACTACTTGTGTGATTCTTTTTGGAAAGTTTCAGCAAGATTAAATTTGCAATTTTAGAGTTATGAACTATTTAAAGCTGAAAAACATACGTTTTCCGCCGAGTGGCGTTTCCAGTGGCGGCAATCGGCGTTTCGACAAAATTCGTCTTAAATAAGTTTCTAATTGTATATTTATCGATAATTTTGAAAGAAAAAACAAGAAAAAAATACGAAAAACGGCTGAAAACCTGTGAAAATAAGAACAAAAAATTGTAATGCTTTACGGACCAGGTGGCCGAGTTCTTGATTTTTCTAGTCCGCGTGTCGGTCTGGCCGGGCCGTGTGCCGCTCTCTATGATGCATGTGCGCTCTGCTGCTTTACTTAGAGGCCCATATCTCAATTAGGAAAAATGACATCACAAAGTTGTCAACTAATGAATTGCTCAAAATTAAATTTCACACAAATTATTAGTTGACAACTTTTTTGTATCTATCAAGGAAACCGAAATATGGACCTTCAATCTTCCGTTCCGCTCTCTATGATGTATGTGCGGTCTGCTGCTTTACTTAGAGGCAATTAGGAAAAATGACATCACAAAGTTGTCAACTGATGAATTGCTCAGAATGAAATTTCACACAAATTATTAGTTGACAACTTTTTTGTATCTATCAAGGAAACCGAGATATAACGCTTGAAACTAGTCATTTGGAATTCTAGGCCACTAATCGAAACAAACTCGAGTAATTTTTTGAAAAGAATGTGTATGTTTCATTTTCAACCACCAAAGCATTAGTATCAATCACTTTTTCTTCCTTCTAACTTTTCAATGATGTTATATTTATCTTACTTTTTCTTACTTTTCCTGTGTCTATTTTGAAACCGGAAACGATGACTCACAACTATATCAAGAAAAATAGGCATGGTCTCAACGAATGTTTACTTCTCTCTATCTCTATGCACTCCACTCCATCTTCTCCCCCTGGCGTTCAGTTCTTCATCATTTCTTTCTGACTATTCAGTGAATAATGGTCGCCTATTTTTTCTACGGATTATTTCGAAATTCAACTTATTATCGTGTATTCAAGCTTCATGGATTCGGGGCTTTTTTTGATTATTTCTAATTTGAAAAGGTAAATATTTTTTCAAACATGAGCATAGTGTTCTTCTCATTTTTCAATCATTTATCAAGCGAATATTGGATTACAGACCAAAAAATGAAGTTCACCATCCTCCTCATCGTCCGTTTGCTTCTCGCTGTCTACGCTCTCCACCTTGACACATAGGACAGAGTCAATACTTTTCTTGGCTTTCTAGTTATTCAATCCGTTTTTTTTTTCAGAATTGGTTCTGGCTTCCGTTGCTGGCATCATCCTCTGCTGCAACCCTAACGACTTCAATAGACATCAGAAGAAGCAAAGAAGTGACTTGAAAGAAGATGGCTTCTGGATCGAAATGGACACTTTCAACTGATTCAGAACATAAGTGTGCTTTACTTTTAGCCATAAAATTTTTAATAGATAAATTTTATTCAAAACTTTACAAATTTATTCAATAATAGCACATAACAAAAGAAAAAAACCAAACTATACTTCACTGTGTTTTGAAATAATAAAATCACACTCTTTGAGAAAAACGGGTACTCAATGTGACATTACAGTTCATCAAATTTATTGACGCCCTCAATTTTTCGACACCTCTCTCGGGTCCATCCAATTTTGGAAATAGGCTTAGGTCCATCCAACTCAAGTAGAACCCAAGACAAGCATATATCCTTATAATCTCAAGAAACTCAAAAAAAAATCGACCGAGGCAGGACTCGAACCTGCAGTCTTCGGTTAAGGAGACCGACACCTTATCCATTAGGCCACACGGCCACAAAACAAAAAGGGGACAGTGTGTGTTTACTAGTCAATGCGGAAAAAGAGAACGAAAGGAACTGTGTGGTGTTTGCCTGCGATTATTTTTCGCAAAACTAATGAGGTTGTGTAAAGAGAATGAAAATTTGATGAAGACGATGAAACACTTCTATGACCAATAAAAAAGTGCAGAAGAGAACATATTCGAATCGAAAAAGGTCTTTCGACACCTGGTACAACGTGTCGCTTGTCAGGGAGGCTATACACAGAGAGAAGAGATCAGCCTCAGTTTCTCTATAATGAAGAAACCATTTCTGTGAGAGGATTGGTACAGTTGCAAAAATGTGTTCTGGTCCGGATGTTTTTTGTATTATATATGTATCCTAGTGAGTTTTTTATGATAAAGATGCCACTAGCCCCTTTATGACGTCATCCTCTGGAACTATAGCCGAAAATGAGATTATAGCTCATATATTCGAAAAAAAAATTTGACATATGGCCTTCTAACGTTGGAGGGTTGATATTTGACCCTAAGGGCATGTTGGTCCGCGAGGCTCTGGAAGTTGCTGTGGTCCGATGTTCATCGTTGTGTGATATCCAAACAGATCAAGAGTTTTTTTGTTTTTGAATTCCAAAAGCTACATTTTCCGGAGAAAACACGTGACTTCCTGAAAAATGCATTTCTGAAAATAATAATTGAATTCAACTGGTACTTTTTTCTGTCGGCTGTTTCTGGAAGCGTTTCATCGTCTTCATCAAATTTTCATTCTCTTTACACAACCTCATTAGTTTTGCAAAAAATAATCGCAGGAAAACACAACACAGTTCCTTTCGTTCTCTTTTTCCGCATTGACTAGTAAACACACACTGTCTTCTTTTTGTTTTGTGGCCGTGTGGCCTAATGGATAAGGCGTCTAAACCGAAGACTGCAAGTTCGAGTCCTGCCTCGGTCGAATTTTTTTGAGTTTCTTGAGATTATAAGGATATATGTTTGTCTTGGGTTCTACTTGAGTTGGATGGACCTAAGCCTATTTCCAAAATTGGATGGACCCGAGAGAGGTGTCGAAAAATTGAGGGCGTCAAGAAATTTGATGAACTGTAATGTCACATTGAGTACCCGTTTTCTCAAAGAGTGTGATTTTATTATTTCAAAACTCAGTGAAGTATAGTTTGGTTTTTTTTTTTTTGTTATGTGCTATTATTGAATAAATTTGTAAAGTTTTGAATAAAATTTATCTATTAAAAATTTTATGGCTAAAAGTAAAGCACACTAATGTTCTGAATCAGTTGAAAGTGTCCATTTCGATCCAGAAGCCATCTTCTTTCAAGTCACTTCTTTGCTTCTTCTGATGTCCATTGAAGTCGTTAGGGTTGCAGCAGAGGATGATGCCAGCAACGGAAGCCAGAACCAATTCTGAAAAAAAAACGGATTGAATAACTAGAAAGCCAAGAAAAGTATTGACTCTGTCCTATGTGTCAAGGTGGAGAGCGTAGACAGCGAGAAGCAAACGGACGATGAGGAGGATGGTGAACTTCATTTTCTGGCCTGTAATCCAATATTCGCTTTATAAATGATTGAAAAATGAGAAGAACACTATGCTCATGTTGGGAAAAATATTGACCTTTTCAAATTAGAAATAATCAGAAAAAGCCCCGAATCCAAGAAGCTTGAATACACGAACTATCACTCAACTTTGCGGGATCGATCACCTCAACGACTATCACGTTATCAAACTAAATGAACCATCTGGTTCAAAACTTGTTCTCATTAAGTACCGCTGAATATAAAGAGGAAAAAAATGAGGCATGACTTCAAATTGCTCATTGTTTTTTTCAGATTTTTCAGTACTTCCTCCTTCAACACAATCATGTAGTCTGTGCCCTGAGCTTCTACAAACAGGGCTTGCATTTTTTTAAAGTCACACAATTTTGTGCATTTGCGTAAGAAGATGTATTGTGTTAGACGAAGCTCAGAGAAAAATGAAAGCAATAACTAGTTTTTGAACAGCAAAATGTATGAAGAATTGAACACGATGTAGTTGCAAAAATTGTTTTTTATTGAAACGTAACGACATAAATTGAGTGAGATCAACAAGTAACAATAACAATTGAATAGTGATGTTGTTCAGTGTCGCTCGAAGAAATTCCTCCTTCTTTTTGACCCGTACTCTCTGCAATGAAATATTTATTGTTGCTTTTTTTAACTTCTGACTTGCATACCTTATTTTGGCATTCCTTCTTGTACTCATTGGTTTTATCCATGACAGATTTCTGTTTTTCATTCTTGAGATTCAAACTGAATGACTTCAACTAACACAGGAAGTCTCGAAGATTGATGAACTGCGGACGTTCAGAAGAAATTCGGACGGAAGACCCTGTCATTTTGGAGAAACACAGTTCCATCGTCCACACGATTTGAGCGATTGGAATCGAGGTACCCGATCCTTCGAATCTTTTCATCCTTTCTTTGAGTTCTTCTTGGAATGATTCGAGAGAAGGATGCTAGCATGAGTCCACAAATGTTTGGCGTCCTTGGAGGGTTTTTTCTTTTCCGAATTCTCACCATCAGCATGAGTTGTAAGTTGCACAAATCCGCCTTCTGATGTTCTATCGGCATTTCCATTCACAAATATCTTTGAGTAGCCATCATGTTGTCCTTGAAAACGAAGACTTCCATCGTGACTGCTGTATTCAATGATCCTTTCTCTTTTGTTCACCCGAACAAGAGCGGTTTGTCGGAGCCTGAAATATCGTAATTCGGAGTATAGGAATACACAAAATAACTCACTCTTCCAAACAATCTTCGCTCAAACTAGCACTCAACCCGAACAGCTGCCTTACTTTTGTCGGAGTATCCAAGTTTTCTACCTTACGAATCACTTCTCAATAGAGGCGGGAAATGTGGGCCCTTCATCGGCAACATCCAAGTCGGCAGCAAAAATCACACAGGAAAGAAATAAAAACAAATTTGAAAAAATCAGTAATACAGGGGTAGGCCTTGCCAGTCGGGCGGCCTGTAGAGAAAGTCCGATGTTAAGATCACTCAAGAACCTGTCATTCCGTCATCCAAAAATCTAACTACAGCACTCACCAGTAGCTCTTTTCTGTGAACCTGACAATTCTCAGAGAAGAACAACGGTAGGATTATTTGAGTGCGTATAGATCGATTTTATGTGTCTCGATTCATAACGAGAGTGTTCTCAGAGAACAATCTCGAGAAGAGACGATGGTGGGGGGATGAGGGAAGGAGGGAGAGGATTGGACTGTGATGATTTGGTGTGGAGACC